TTGAAAGCATCCCGTCATAGTATATTATTGTTTGTTTTGGAAGTACTACTGTTTTGCATAGGAATGCTGTGCAGAGAGTGGTGAGGACAGCAGAAAAGTTTATTGGAAGTTCACTTCCTTCTATCCAGGCCGTGGCATATACTCATGAGGAGCTACTGACTGAAGCACTTGTAGAAGATCTCAAGTCCTCTCCTTGCTGGAAAGGAATTATTAAAAGATAATTTACTTGCCAGCTCTTCGTTCCACTGTATTTGTCAGCATTTTTCGCCAAGCAATCTTCAATCTGCCATTTCTTCCTCAGAAGTCATTTCAAACTAATATCAGTTGCCCATCTAACAAAGGTTAAGCATACTACGAGATATCCTAGGGTCAACTTCATTAACCCCAGCTAACGCTACAGAATTACCTGACATGCTTTGTTGAGAATGCATATTAGACAAGGATCATGATGCAGGTCCAGGAGGTTCAATCACGAGTATCAACTAGAAAACAGAAATGCCAAGCCAAATGTCTAGCATTCTATTATAGACATGTACAATTGTGTCATAGTGAGCGATAATCTGCTGCCAAGCACTTCTTATCTGACCGTCTGATAGTTGACATATGAACCATCATCCTGTGGCGAGTACCTTCAAGCATCAAATAAATCTTACCAATCTAGCTGATACCTTGCTTTCTTCCAATACTAATAGATAACACTATGTTTCTGTTACCATGCTTTTTAATGGCATTCTAAATACAGGGAAACCTCAAACTACAAAAGTAGTAAATGAAGTATCATCATCTCATATTAGTTCCACTGAATCTCTCTATTTGGGATAAGAGCAAAGAAAATGTACAAATGAAATTCCATATTCATGATACTGTATACATTCCATTATACACTTCCTTGTTTTGGCAACATCTGTGCTTCAAATATTCTAATCCCTAAAGTAAATTAATTACATTTGAAAAAACAAGCTAAACATGGAATCAAAGTCATCTCTCTTAAAAATAATTTCAAAACACTAAAGATTTGACATTTTTAAAATGCAGCATGCAATAAAATTAAACCAAAATCCATAAGGGTCATTCCACTACACAAAATAATGATAAAGGAAACAGGTCTAGATTCCTATGCAGGTGGATTTTAATTAGACTTTCCTTTGTGTCTCTCATATCACATTTATTTGCTCCAGAAACAGGTAGGGCAACCTAATGGGAATTGGTTTCATTTGGTGGATACTTTTTTCTATGTGAAAGGACACAACGAGATGCAGCTAGTAGTGTAGGAATCACTTCATTAATGCACATATTTTCTGAAGCAAAACATTGAATTGTGATTTGCCAGATAACAGCAGCCAGCATTCAGTTTGTTCTTTTTTGTAAAATGGCACAGCAAAAAATACCACGAGAAAATGTTTTAAGTCTGGTATTGAAGTAAAATGCATAATTTATGAGTTACCAGAGAACATTATGATTTGTAATAGAATTTTTCATTTGATTATGTTAGTATGCTGTTAACGTATCAGTTGCCAAGGAAAGTACAAAATTTATTTGCTGTCTCCTTTTATATCCTGGTAACTATTTTTTCTACATTGAACTGTTTTAACATTTAAAAATGCATGCATTTTTTTTATTTTTTCATAGTTATAAAATATGCTATTTCATTGTGTTTGATTTGCAGAATATTAAAAGGTGTACTATTATATTTCATTCTAGAAACACTGAATCTAAAATTAATTTTGCACAAACTGAATTTTCACTTGAATCCTACTCTTTATTCTTTCCAGATGTGTTTTAATATGGAGGGAGATTTGTGTATTCCCAGGTCTCTCCTGGCTCTGAGAAAAACATACAGTTTGCTATTCCGTTATCTTTACTATTCCTTTATTTTAATGTGTATTTTTGTAAGGAACTCTAATTGATAGATTCTTCAAATGGTTTCTTTAGCTATGCTGTACAGATTTCAAATTAATTAAAATGTCAACATGAGGCCTTTTAATGAGGGATTTGTCCTATAAGACTTGCTTTTACAGGGCAAATTCTTAATGATGGGGAACATTGACAATCATGCATCCCGCCACAGCATTTTTGATTCCTTGAGTTAGCTAGCAAAGCTGAAAGCAACTAAAATATTAACTATTGTACTTGAATTCATAATATTTTGTTGCAGGACACCTAAATTAAAGCTGAGGATGTCTGCAGACAAAGGGTAGAAAAAGTCAAGGTGATGGGCATAATAAGATTGAAGCCTTGATTCTCTTTGCCCACATTTTAAAAAGAACATGCCTTCCATCACATGCATCTCAATTTGCATTCCATGTTGGAATACTCTTACCTAAAGCTTAGAACAGCTGAATAACTTTGGTATTATCACAACAATGATAATATTCTTAAACAGCAGATTGTTATTAATATTGAGGTAGAGATGTTTTTGCCTATAATTAAAAGATACAAATGTTAGAATTTTTTTAGTTAAATGGTATTCCATTTGTGAAGATGATGATGTCTATGTGCTTTTGATCAAGGAAAGGTAACTAAGAGTAAATGTAAATATTATAGGGGAATACTCTTTGAGAAGGTGCTTGGTAGAACTCTTGGAAAGAGTCTAAGAAACGACAGTAAGCAAAATTTGGGAAGTGTACTGTAGTTTTATGTTGGGAGGAAGTGGACAATCAGATCAGTGCGAGAGTGCGAGAAATTTTATTACTCTTTTACTGATTTAGAAAAACGTGTATGATCATCAGTTATGGACCATTTTATGTGAATATGAAATTGCAGGTTGGTTGCTGAATGAAATAATAATATAGTCTGGAATCTTAAGTGCAAATAGCAATATATGGATGGATGCTCAGTGATTTGTTGGTATTCAGGCAGGAAGAAGGCAAGAATTTCTTTATGTTCCTTTTGTAGTTTTTATAGACAAATGAATCAAATTGCTTGTTCTGAAGTTAGACATGTTGGACAGGAATGTGACTATACATATATGTACTTTGTATGCAGATTATGCTGTTTTGTTGACTGAGATGATTTGTACCAATTAGATTGCATGATCCAACCACGAATCATGGTCTGAAACTTTATCAAAGAACAAGGTAGTTATATTTCACAAGGAAAATAGAGTGAACTGTTGCAAGAAATGCATAAATAAATTGTGAAGAATTAGAGCAAACATGAATTTAATCACCCTGGTTGACTGTTTGCTAAAGTTGGGAATTTAGATAGAGAAATTTTAAGACATTCAAATGCTGATAGAAAGGGAGTAGGTAGTAAATTGTCCTTGTGAAGAAAGAATGTGAAAAAGAGTCAGAATGGCTACATAAGAGTACACATGTGTGACTATAGGTAGTCCTCGAATTACAAGGATTCACTTAATGACTGTTCAAAGTTACAACATCACTGGAAAAAGTGACATGACCCTTTTTCACACTTATGACCATTACCACATCCTCATGGTCACATGATTAAATTCAGATGTTTGGCAACTGACTCATAGTTATGATACTTCTTGTCAGCATTCCAAATATGCAGAATTAAATTAGAGTCCAAGGCAAAACTTTCATCAAAGTTCCAATTTAATAAGATAGACATGTTGGCACATCTGTGGAAATCCCAATTCTAAAAGCTTCCTGGGATTTCACCCAGTTGAAAGTTCATGATCTTATCCCCACACCCATAAATTCATCACATGGTCCAATCATCTTCATCCACGCTGGCATTTCCACCCATCTAGTTCCGGTCAGATGCAGAAGTGCAGAGACAAAAGATGACCTTGGCTTCTAGAAAAGAATGACAACACATTCCACAATTCTACTCCTTTCTATTTCCCCCTCACAATTACTACACTAATGAAACAGCATAGTGAAATAATAGAGAATGTGGCAGGCCAAAGATCCTAAAAGGAACATAACTACAGTCCTGACACTTGTAGTGTTTCATGGTCATGTGATAATCTTTTGCAACCTTCTGACAAGCAAAGTCAATGGGTAAACCGAACTCAATTAATAACCGTGTTCCTAACTTAACAATTGCAATGATTCACTTAACAACTATGACAAGAAAGGTTGTAAAATGGGGCAAAACTCACTTAAATGTCTCACACAGCAACACAAATTTTGGGTTAAATTGTAATCTTAAGTTGAGGACTATCTGTATTGCATGGAAATGAGAGTTGGATATGTCAAAAGAAATTGAATACAGTGAGAATGGAGTGTGTATAGGTACTTCTTGAATTACAACATTTAACAGCCATTTAAAGTTGCAACAGACTTGAAAAAAGTTATTTACAATCTGTCTTTAAAGTTACGGCTGTACCACCCCCATGATCATGTGATTACATTTCAGGTGCTAGGCACTCCTTTAGTGCTAAAAAATGGGATGGCCGGTGTATGTATGTATGTATGTATGTATGTATGTATGTATGTATGTATGTATGTATGTATGTATAAATAAATAAATAAATAAATAAATAAATAAATAAATAAATAAATAAATAATAAGAATGTGTTTGTGATTTTGGTGCCTTTGAGTCATTTTTAACTAATGAAAATCATGGGTCATCCTTGGATAGTCATATTTAGCTTAGCAATCACTTTAATTGCTGCATCTAATATTATGATTATATTTGGGATTAAAATGTTATCTTAAATTCTTGAAATGAGGTTGCCATACAAATATATGAAAAACACGAGTGCTAAGTGGTAAACCTTTCATTACATGTTCTCTAGAAATCACTTAGAAAGATAAGTTTTTAAAATGACATACTGGAATTAAATAATTAAATCTAAATATTTTCAGTTGGAAAAGTCTTTTTTGGTTTAATTGTGGACATGGAATGTGATTGTCCTGCTGTGCTTATTTCTTCTCATTCAGTGATGGCTTATGTCAGTGAAATAAATAAATAACTATCCTAGAATTAATTTTGACTTCAGCTCTATTTGGAGATACATCCCAAAGATCTGCAATCTAAAAGACTTAATCTTGCTGTCATTCTCTCTCTCTCTTTTTGTTTTTAATAGGATGATGAAGTGGTTCTGCAGTGTACTGCTACTGTTCACAAGGAACAACAGAAATTGTGTCTTGCTGCAGAAGGATTTGGCAACAGGCTCTGCTTCTTGGAATCAACTTCTAACTCCAAGGTACATCAAGCTGTCTTGTTCTGATGCTGTTTTAGATATTACTGATTCTGCTTCACGAACCATATCAGATGCTGAGAGAATAGCATGGGCTGCATGGGAGAGTGAACTGTAACATTGCATACAAACAGCAACCTGAGGTTTTACTGACAAGAAGCCTGCTCTTGGTGGCAGCTTCGGTAGCCTTGCATAACTTTATACATATACGTTCATACATAAATGTATATTTAGGATCCTTGTGAGACAACTGTATTTATCTGTGAGATAAAACAGTTTCTGCAATTTTAAAATAGTAAATTGAGACTACATTCTCTTTTTTAATATGATTTTTATTGCAACTTTAAAAAAATAAGATTAAAAAGTATTACAAACTAAATATAGAGTAAAGAAGAAATGAGAAAAAGAAACAGTCAAGAGAAAGCAAAAAGTATAGAAGGAATGGCTTCTGATATTCTTCACAGCAGCTATGAGTACAATTATATTTTAACGTCTCTCTCTTAAGTTATATCTCAGAGTACATTCTTAAATGCATCCGAAAAGGCCCCTCAGATTTTACTTTAAAAAAATCAATTGAAATTAATGAAATATTAAATTTACTAGTAATCTATAAAGAGCTTTTGTGGGAAGAATGGGATTTATAAAACATTAGAGTCATGAGTGACAAAGTGGCCGCAGCACCAAGAATGTCATCATGGACAGAAATAGCTATAACAAACAAGTTGATAACCTCGTATCTTGATGGGTTCATTGTGTTCTCTTTGGGATAGCTATTATTGTGGTCTGGAAGCTACAGATAAAGCAAAATGCAGGAGCAAAGTTAAGTTTTTAAATGTGATATATAAATATAAATGTATAAGGACTGATCATAGTTACTTTTTCAGTGATGTCGTACCTTCAGAAAGTCACTAAACAGGGCAGTCATTAAGCATAATCTACCTGTATTGTACATAGTTAGATTCTAGTGTATTTTTAATTCTCTATACTATTTGAAGACATATTTGCATGGCAGGGGATATATAATTATTTTGGTTTCTTAAAAAAAACTTGAGTTTTTTTCTAGCTATGTTTTTGAACTAGTTTTAGCTACAAATGATTTATTTTGGTGAAGTTAAATATGTTATGAGAGAGTTGAATATATTTTTAAAATTCTGAATAGACGATCTCCAGAAAAGATGGTGATTCCCTCCTCCATTTTTTCCTCAATATAATTTTAATTAAACATATTACTTTCCATATGGCAAAGACTAAATGTTTTATTTTCAGCAGCTCATCATTTTCAAAGTATTATTCATCATCATAAAAATTAATTGGAATGTTAAATATTCATTACAATAGCACTGATCTTGATAGATTCATCTATCCTGTTCCCTTATAACTGAACAGTCCTAAAAAAATGTAACAGAATTGAAGTACAGTTTTATAATGAAAGGTATTTCTTTAACAAATAAATATCATTTAAGAAAAACATACTGTTACCAAGGTTTTGTCCTGGATTTTAAAGACTCCATGCAAGTATTTGTAATATCATCATTTATTTTGTTGATTCTGTAAGATCTTATGAAAACAATTTTTAATAGTTTTTGTATGCATGTGCATAAGCCTTTTTGTTTTGCCATGTTCTTTCTGTCAGTACTGTGGCTTCTTGACCTGTATATAAATTTCTTATCAGGCCATTGAATTGTTCCACAGGTCGATGTGATCGACATAATCAGTGAAGCACATATTGACTTCTTTTGGGTATTATTCAGCTTTTTCAATTATCTAGCATGTTCAGAAATAATGTTTTGGATTCTTTAGCCTTTCTAAATCAGTTTGAACATCTGGCATCTCTTTTTCCACTTTGGGTGCTAATACTGCTCCTTGTCACTTTTAACAGCTTTCTGAAGCTCTTTGCTAAGTTCCCTTCTGAGATTTTTGTCTTTCATGGATTTGGCTTCTCTTCTCTTGTTGTAAATTTTCATGGTTTGTTCTGACATCCAGTTTCTTTTCTTCTGTTTCTTCATTTTTGGCAGTTTCTTTTCCCATTCATCCTTAACAACCTCTTTAAATTCGCTCCATAATTCTTTTGGTTTTCTATCAGTGAGTTTTAGGACTCAAAGAGGTTCCTGATGTTTTCTTTGAAAATGGTAGCTAATTAAGATTGTATCATGGAAACTGGCTTTCTTCTTTAGCTTAACTTGGAACTTGTACGTGAGCAGTTTATGATTGGTTCCACAATCATGTTTGGCCTGGAAGAAATTTTATTTATTAATATACTGTAGCTTGCCTATTGCTGTAGCAAATATGTTACAGTATAAATGACATTGGCTCAAATTGATCTGGCAAGTTTAGCCACTAAGATTATTCTGTCAGAAGAAATGTTACTCCTCCATGATAGAATCAAAGATGAGAAGATAATAGCAGAGAACAAGCCATCAACTGCCACATGGAATTTGTAACTTGGATAATAGTCTGAAAAGGATAAAACGACAGAACTGATCTAAATATATTTTTACCTACATGGAGCTACTTGTACCACCTTTTAAATTACTCTGTGGAATACGATCAGTCTAGATAGAGATTTTTAAGGCAATTCATACACATTTTAAATAGCACATGGTTTCTCCCAGCTAAGCCCCCTCTTGAATTCTTCCATGTAGAAAACAATTCATCAGTTCATAGTTTCTTGTGAGTAGGAAAATGCCAGGGAATGTTTTTCTTGTATTACTGGTAGTTATGCACTTTGGTTACATTGTTTGAATATGCCCTCAAGTGGTGAGAAATAGTACCTACCATATCTGAGGAAACAAATGCCTCATGATGAAATTACATTTTGAAATCAATTATATCTTTGCTACTTTATTTATTAAATTTATTTGCCGTGAGGTGACTCTGGGTGGCTTTCAATGTTAATAGCAGTAAAACATACAAATATATATTTCTATCATAGCAGCAATAAAAATACAATATTTGATTATAAAATGGTAAGGGAAGGTGCAGGATGCCTAGGAGATGGGAGGTGGGAACTACTATTGGCCCATCAATCATCTTCAGTGTGATACATCCCCATTGGAGACCTTGGCCAACTGGCACAATCAGGTCTTCAGTCAAAAGGATGGGGGCAGATCTCATCCTGGCCGCAAAATGTTGCAAAGGGCTGGAGGCACAGCAGAGGTCTGGATCCTGCAGCCAGAATTCCTTTACCAAAAGAATCCACAGCATGCTTCCTCTGCTGTCAGTTCCTCAAGTCCTGGACTCATGCTATGCAAGGCTTTATAGGTAATAATCAACACCTTGAATTACACCTGGACGTAAACCAGCAGTCAGTGCAACTTGCGGAATAGCGGTGGGACATGGGCCACTCTAGGGACCACAAAGACTGCCAGTACTGTCTATGGAAGCATTCGTGTAACTCTAGCCTTTAACTTATTAGTAAAAGCCAGAAAAATAAGATTGCATAAATAAACTATTAGAGGTATTTTTTTATGTACAGTTGTTCATTTATACCCAAAATATAATGTGCAAATGAAGCCTATTTTTGAAGGTTTGAATCAGCTTTTCCCATGTTTTCCATGAGTGTACGTTGTATAAGCAGATGCATAATGTAAGCCGCTTTTAGAACACCATTCATTCAAAATATTTTATTGTACCCTTCAGTTGAGAAGGCTCACAAATAGACTTACATAAAAGCAAACTCACTCAGCAGTAAAGCACATACAGTGAAAGCATCATTACCATTGGTACATAACTCTCTTAGAAATCCTGCACAAAGCATATAAAAGAATACCTTAATACATTAAAAAGAAATGTGTACTAAGAAATAAAATAATTATGTGTGAAAAATGAAACAATAATTTAGACTTGTTCTTTCTTTGCATTAGGTCATAAATAAAACTTACAGTCTGCATTATGCATATGTAATTACAACATCAGTAAACTACTTCAGTTTACTCATTTCATTTTAATTGTTCCCTTGGATTGTTTATCGTCTGGCTGATTGAGGCTTCTTCTGTAGTTAGCGCAATGATCTCTTGCAAGTTTTAAGTGTTCGGCATCACAAACAAAATCACACTAGCTTTTAAAACCAATGTGCATATAGTTAAACCATTTAACTCCTGGAAGCTTTAACTCCATAGAAGAAAGAACTTGATTAAATTTGTTAAAAGAGTGAGGATTTGACTGAATATATATCTTACTTTAAAGCAATCCTGGCATTGAAATAAAATGTGGGGCAATATCCTATTGAGCTCATATTATTTCATTAATTTTATCTTCCATTTTTAGATTGCTTGTTTTCTTGTTTCCATTGCTCAGGTGTACATATAACAGTTCAAATTGGACATGTATGTTAGGAGAAATCCAACTGTGGACCCCACCAGATTTTAGTGGTCAGAAATACAGGAAGAACAAAGAGAAGGGGGAATGAGTTTCCTTTCAGGATGAGTTTAGGCGATTTGAAAATTGTGATGGCAGCTTCACTGTCACTTGGATTGAGAGACTATAAAGCTAAGTGACAGAGGTGAACAATATTCATCCTTTGTAATTATACAGCCCAGGAAGATCCCATCTGCCATTTCACAAAATTGTTCTTATAGTATGTCTGAATGGAAGTGGAGCCCTGGTCTTCCATCCAGAATATTAATGCCCTCTACCCAACTAGGGGTCTCACCTACATCAAAAGAACTAAAAAAGGGAGGATGGACAAGTAATGTTAGGTTTAAAGCATGGATCTTTCAACAGGTAATCATAGTAGGTAACACTGGAACTTTAAAGACGATGCTGATGGAAGTGGGACTGATACAAGAGAAACCATATTAGGTTGCTGTCATTTCTGTGTAAAACGAATTGTAGATTCCAGTTGTGATTAGAAGGTAATACCGGTAGCTACATTTCTTATCCCCCACTCCCTTTCTATACACTACAGCAGAGATGGGGAATGGCCCTTTATGACATGTGTACTTCAACTCCCAGAATTCCTGAGTCAGGATAGCTGGCTCAGGAATTCTGGGAATTGAAGTCCACATGTCATAAAAGAGCCATTTTTCCTCACTCCTACACTAACAGTAATAAGCCAATTGCTTGTTTTGACCCTGACATAAACAAGGAAGTAAAGGATCCTAAAAGGATCACTAAAATTTTGAAGTCAGTCCCTTTAGGAAAAGATTTCAAAAACAAATCTTTGGCAATTTGGGTTAGGTATGGGATTGTTTATTCAACTGGTTTTGGCATTTTGATGAAAAGCGGTCATTGGATTTTGATTAATGTTCTTTTGGACATTTCGTATTTTTAAATATTTGTTTTTAGTTTAAAATCCCATTTTTGATATTCTGAAAAGTTTTTATTTACTTAGTATTTGTAGTTTGTTACATGTCTTGTTCAAAACTGCACTATTTTTTCACTGTTGTGATGAAAAAAGTGTATAAACATGATTATACTGTGTATAATTCTGAATATCTCTTTTGATATAAAGTCTCCGTTGAATCCAGCTGGACTCCTTGTGACTACATGAATATTTCCATTATGTTTTCTTGGCAACTGTATGGAAACTGCTTGCTATCACTTGGATGTTCTTTCTAGTCTACATCCTAGAAAAGTTGTTTCTCTCTCCAAACCTGCTTTGCTTCCATGCCCTGGAATACTTGGCCAGGTTCAACCACCTGTGAGAAGATTTGACATTTACATACTAGTACTGACCATGTGATATTCAGATAAAGGCATAAAGTGGGGCAAAATTAATAAGGAGTTATTGGATATGATATGGGAAGCAAATACATTTCATAAATAAATAAATAAAATTTCTCATGTCAGGCTATTCCCAGTGAAACATACTGGATAGGGAACTGCTTGGTAAGTTGTGCCTTGCATATCTATAGTGCTTGCTCTTTAATGTAAGGAATTGATTGATGGAGCACAGGTTGTATGTAAAGTAATGAAATTGTTGAAGTTTGAATTTCATCATTTTTCTCAAGCAGTATAAGAGTTTTTCTATGGCTATTAATGTGAATTTTCCACTTTAAATTGATTAGAAAGGTTGTCATGTTTTCTTGTCTCCCTTTATATTTCTAACTGAGTTTTTGAATTTGATCAGTGATAATAGTCAGCCTAAACACAGAAACTGTGGAGCAATGTCTGTTTGAATTTAGAGGATATTTCTTATAACACCTGTAGCTGAAATCTTATGCACATCTAGGAATAGGTTCCATTGCTATCAAAAAATCTGCAGATTTTGGGGGTTTAGTGGACTGATTTGTTATTCTAAGGAGATATTGTAATCTCTTTTACTTTGCAGTCATTGATGATTTAAATGTCATAAAGCATCAGTTTATCAAAATAAAATCCTATTAGCCATTCCTTTTGTAGGAGACTCTGTAATATACATTAGTCTTTTTCCTGGGATGGTGGGTATATTTCTGTTTTTTAAAGGAGGTTTATGAGGCTGATCTGGAGCCCAGAGGCATTCTGAGATTATTCTGAACATTGGTGCTCTACAGTGTATTAGCTCCATCTATTTTATGCATGGATTTAGTTAATAAATACATACATGCACACAGAGTAGAAGGGCTGGGGGACTGCAAGTTAGTTATTTCCATGTATACTGAAGACTTCAGATACAGAGGATTGTGATAAAGTATCAGGAGAATGTCTTGCTCAAGCTCTTTTCATAATTTCTTTTTTTCAATTAGAATGTTCCTCCGGATCTCTCCATCTGTACTTTTGTTCTGGAGCAATCATTGTCAGTCAGAGCTCTCCAAGAAATGCTGGCTAACACAGAGGAGAAAGCAGAAGGGGTAAGTTGTGATGTGTTACAAGTGGAATGGCATTTGGAATTAAGGATAAATAATACTCCTTTGTAACATTCAAATTTTGTCCAAGAGGATCCAAATCAATTCTATAGGGCAGCTTTTGCAATATTATATTTTTATTAATTATTGATAATAATTGCCTATATACTGTACTTAGATGCTCTTAATAATTCTTAGGATCTTGGTTAAGACTTAAATTATTAAATTTCCACCAAAGCTGTATTGAAGTAAAGAGATTGCAAAATTCCATTAAAGCTTTTGTGGTCAAATCAATTCAGAAAGGAAAGGGGAAAAAAAGGATTCTGGTGCTTGAAAAACAACAACAACAAAAATTAAGCCTTTTATAAGGTAATAAAATAATGGGATTTTGGATATTAACTTCTATCCCAGCTACTCCTTAGTTTTGCTTTTTGGTATAATTACTTATTCAGATTGCAACTTGTGGCACACAGCTTTTTAAACTATTTGTAATTTTACCAATCAAAAGGGTATGACCTAGGACACAATAATATCTCGGGGCAATTCTGTTTACAGAATTTGTATCTCCTTTCGCCTGCAATTTTACCAAAAGTGGTAAAAGCTACTTGAAAAGCATGTGGTCCTTAAAGCCTTATACTCTGCTGTTTCCTAGCATTTTGCATGAACAACTACATGATGGCAACCAACAGGCTCTCATTCCCCCACCCCTTAAGCTAAATCATTTTTGTTTAATGCGTTTTGGTGAGACTATAATTGGAAACGACTGTGTGATAGACTTGTGTAAACTTGTCAGATATAATTATAGAAATGCATTTTGGTATTATCCACAGTTTGCTTTGAAATATTTGTTCCTCTCTGATTGGATCCAGAATCAAGCACATAATTTACATTTTATTCAAGAGGCATCACCTTTGGATTATCCCTTTTATAATACTGTTTCTAACTTTGCTGTGAAACCTAGCTGAAAGCTACATTAAGAAAGTTAAATAATTAAAGGGAGATCATGTTAAATTAGCCTCTTGTGGGGAAAAAGACACTTCCCAACATTATGGACTTGGATACAGATCCTGTATTCACAAACATAGTGCTAGGGAATTGTTTTTTGTTTTTTTTTAAGAGCAGGAATAATGACATCATCTGCATTGCCTTCAGGCATCCCTCTGCATTTTGCTGCAATGTTCTCTTTAGCTAGGGAAGAGCACATGGATTTTTCTAGCAGCAGTATTTTTCTGGGAGCTATCTAGTGTAAGGCAAAACATTTCGAGGTGGCTTGGTTTTGAATGAGCCCAAGATGATTAAAAAACTGTTCTGGGTAAAAAAAATTGGTAGAACTGAATGCACAGTTTCCCTTAATATTGGTGCATATATAACCTTCTGCAAGCTAGTCTTCCTGCTTTTCTCATGTCTTAAATGATTTTTTTGGCCATGTGCTGTCTGCTAATAAAGGGGAACTGGTTAAATGTTGGAAAATTACTATGTGTAATTTCCATTTTAATTTGTATTCTAGTCAATCCCATTCCCTCTTTTTTGCAAGTTAATTGTCAAAAACAAAACAAAAGACAGGCAAAAACAGGGAGTAAGAAAGATAGGTACAACAGTAAAATTTTATTTTATGAATGTGTGTGTATGTGCGCACATGTCTCTCCATATCTGTCTCTCTGTCTATTACTATGAAGTTTCCAGAGCCTCTGGAAGCAATTATGTGGATAATTAGCAATCCCAAAAGGAGTGGTCTTTGTTCATTCCAACTTTCTATTTTTTAATGTGCAAAACAGCAGGATTGAGATGGGAAGTAGGACACAAGGTGATTCCTCATTTATCTGCATCACTGAGAAACAGTGAATGGGGATAATATATCTAAGGAGACTTGTTTCTATTTGAATTCTTTATCAAGATTTTGCTGCATATTGTGGGAGGAAATTTCTGTTTTCTGTATTTTGAAAGATAATGAACTATGTATTTGTTCTGTCTATCAGAAATAAATAGGCTCAAAGTAATGTAACTTAGCTGCTCTATAATCTGCTTTATACAGCAGAAAAGCTTTTTCCTCATACATCTTATACTTCCTATTATCTTTGCATAATTATCTCATTTTATTCACAGTAATTTGTGCAGTGTATGTTTATCACCTCTCTTATTAACAACCTTTATGCTCATAACAATTCTGTGAGGTTGACTATACTTAGATGTTTGTTTAGAGGTCCTAATGTATATAGAAATGGACCAGGAATTCAGTCGATCATAATATATTCTGCATTTGCCAGCACATTATTATATGACTGTAATCTTCCCTAAATACATTGGAGTGTGAAATGTATTGCTCTTCATAATTGTGGCTATGTGCTCTTTCTTACACACTCTCCCCTGGCTGTGTCATCATGAGTGCCTGTACTTCAAAATTTACTAATGCAGTACTGCTTTCATTAGTGAGAGATACTCATTTTCTCTTTTTCATTTGCTGTCTGAGTCTCATACATGGATTGTGAATTTGTGTTCTCCCTGAAAGCAGTCTAAACCAGTGTTTCTCAACCAGGACAACTTTTAAGATTTGTCAACTTGAACTGTCAGCATTCAGCCACTTTGCTGGGTGGGGGATTCTGGGAGATGAAATCCACACATTTTAAAGTTGCCTATGCTGAGAAAACACTGGTCTAAACATGGAGGAGAAATCTGGCACGCTTTGCTTGTTCTTACTTAAGAGGAAAAAATTCTTACTCAGTTGTGGTGGTGGAAGGTAGTCTGGATTCCCAGGATGGTATGGCATTCCAGATGGCAATGAGACAATGGAACTTAGATAGTTGGGATAGTTTGGTTAGGAAAAGAGTTATAATATCTATAGTGATGCAAATAGTTGCTTTAGTTTGGTAAGATTTCTGTCCGTATGTGAGTAACAATAAAGTAATTCTATGTGTCTTTCTTGGTTTTTGGGGCCTGACAGTTTTCTTCTGACCTCTATTACAGCAGTCAGTATATTTTTCCAGATATGTCTTTGACCAAATTCTTGTTGAGAGGTTTCCTTGTATTCCTTCTTAAAAGCATTGTTAGTGTACCAGAGAGTGTCTCTAGTTTCTTCCCACTTCCCATTTGCTTTACTGGCATAGCAATTACAGCCGAAAAAGGTCCAAATTAGCCAGCATATCACTGTACATTTCTGGTGACACTATCTGTTGCCCTATTTGCCTTGTTAACAAATATAATACCGGTATGTATGTTTCTGAAATAATCACAAACAAGTCTTATTGGCTTTCCTGATTACTATGATATAGAGAAAAAAAGAATAATGAAGAACAACCTTATATATACTTAGATTAATTGTGTAGCTATTTTAATGTTATCAATATTCTATTGGGTACATGTCCTCCAACATTTAATGCAAGGGTGTCAAACTCGATTTCATTGAGGGTCACATCAGGGTTGTGTTTGACCTTGGGAAGCCGGAGTCGCAGTGACCAGGATGGGCATGGCCAGCTCAACATTACTCATGCCCAAGCACTCTCCCAGAGAAAATGAGATCCCGTTTTTGGGTGCAGGCCGGATCCGGCCCCTGGGCCTTGAGTTTGACACCCCTGATTTAATGCCTACTTCTTTAATTGAAGTTGCTAGGTACAATTTATATATGCAATCAATTTCAGTTTGTAAAACTCATAATAACATTTAAATCATGTTGTGAAAGGAAATATCAGTGTGGGATCTGAAGTGGTAACAGTGGGAAAAAGAAACAGCAGCATCTTGAATGCTCTGTTTTAAGTATGTCTGTGTGTGCTTTCTCATGTAAAGGATGTATTATTATAGCTTCAAGAAATTTCAGCTCTCATTTTCTTTGCATGCACATATTCTTAATTGCTTGAAAAACAGTGAGGACTGAGAATTGTTAAAATACTATGGCAATTTTATGATAGCCAAGAGAATTTAACATTTTACATAAAACATGCAGCATTCAAAGTTCTCCATTCTATTATGTTACAGCATACAACTACAAGTGGTAAAATGTTAAGCCATTAAGTTATATATTACATGACATGCAATTTTTCTAGAGAAATTAAACAATGAATACATCATAATATCCATTTCATTTTTAAAATGTTAAAACTTAAATTTATATTTGCTTCTCTTTCATTTTATTTCCCCCCTTCGTATTATGCCCATATGACTGAAATTGAAGGTAGGATCAGTTTTATCTTTCAGTTTAATATTTGTTAAAGTTGTCTTCAGAATATATCTTTATCAGTACAATAGTCTGAAAATTTTAGATTTTTAAGAAAGTGTTAAAATAATTATGTTAACAAAAATGTTTACCGGTATATCAAATTGTAAGAATTATATTACAAAATATAATTGTACTAACAATATTCATTTTTTTTCTTTTTACAGCTAGTTGATGTGGAAAAATGGGTATGTCTGACTCTCTTGATGCAATATAATCCTGGTTTATTAGAAAGTCAAATTTCCACATTATTCTGAATCCTATCACGATTGCTTTGCTAAGCTCAAAATAGCCTTTTTTTGGAAAAGACTTTTACAATGCTAGTTAGTATTGGTGCATCCTTTAGTATTTCCTATCCTATTAAATAATACAGAATATTATTCCTGCAATAAAGGAATTATACTTAGAATTTTGTGCTTTGTTAAGTACATCTTCTAAATGTACACTCTGTATAATATTTCTTCTTAAATGTACATCATAATGAAATAATGCATGTGATATCATAAACTTTTATATATGATATTGAAGATTTGCTTTATTCACCAAATTAGAACACATGGAATTGTTGAATATAATGACAATTTGCCGGAGAGTGTACACAATATACATAGAAGGTTCCAGACTTCTCTTAATTAAACACATACTTATTTTAAGACATTAAAAAGCCTGTAAGAATTCATTATGTGCATTCATTTAAAATATTAAAAAATCTGCAACTTTTGCTTTGGAAATCTTTGAAATTATATTATTCATATGTTTTATGCACATATACTATCAATGTAAAATAACACATTTAAAATTATAGATATACAAGAAAAAAGAAAATATATAATTCTTATTATGAACATTCAAGTGTTGGATTTTTTTTAAAGCCTACCATGTAAATCTGCTTGAAATGTCCAGATCTGCATGTCTACATAGTTTTAACTTTTATTACTAACTGTATGGATTAAATATCCTGCCTGGGATATCTATATTACAATGAATTACAGTTGTATGTGTATTAATGATTACTTCCCTCTATTATCTTTCTATTGGAATTTATGAAAGAGCTGTATTCTAATCTTTATTAGACATTCACCAAAATTATTGACTAAAATATTATTCAGATAGTTACAGTGGGTCTGCTTACTTAACATTTTGTTTTGAAATAAGAACTCTAGTAACATAATAGAATTAAAGTGTTGGAAGGGCCAAATCTCTGTTCAATGTAGGAATCAAAATTAAAGCACTCAGACAAATAACTATCCAGCTTTTGCTTTAGGATTCTGGAACTATTTTGATCTAAAGCCAGATGGTGTTTCAGACCCAAAATGCGAGGATTTGCTATATGTGACAGCAACTCTTTAAAATGCTGTGTTTTCACCTGAGCTCGTGGGGTAGTTGCACATGGAGGTATAGGCCTCCTTAACTGAAATATATTTCCCTTGAGCCACAGATCTACCCTGTAAAAAGGTTAACAACCCTGAATTTGAAGCACCTTTCCTGCTTTGGATCATAGCAGTTGTATCATCCCCATTCACATCCAATGAAAAGGAGCACATCACCTCTCTGGCTGACTGACTCCATTGTTGAATTGTTCTGATTGTTAGAAGAACATGAAGTTTTTGATTGGAATCTGTCTTCCTGTAACTTATATCTATTATTATTTAGCCTGTACTTTGGAATAAGAGAGAATGTCCTCAATTTTTATGAGAATTTCTTTCAGTTCCTCTCTCACAAATCTTTCTTAAGGTTAAACATGCTAAATGAAGGCTGCCAGATGTCCAGCAAAAGAAGTACATGTCCAACAGGCTTAGTCTTAAAACTAACTATTATCTGGCTATTTGTTTATTTAACTGTGTAGCTTTTCTCAGCAGCCCAGCCCTTCCTTAATAAGCTCAGTTAAAGGCAATGGCAAACCACTTCTAAAAAACTTTGCCAAGTAAGCTGCAGGGCGTTGTACAAGCTGTTGCCAGGAGTCAACACTGACACGAAGGCATTTTTATTAAATTTTAAAAAAATGCAGACTATCACATAGTTCTTTCTGAACTCTAGAATGCAGTTCATCTGGTCCTGAAATCTGAAATTCTTTCCAATTATTTTTATATCATGTTTCTATTGATTTCAAACTTCAGTCCTGTCATTCACAATTCTGATAGAACATGTAGTCTTTTGTTTAAGGAGACCAGGTAAAATAAGCACTGATAGATTTATGTGTTCTTTATTTAATTTTCTTGAACCAGTCAATCAATAAATATAACACAATACAGGTAGTCCTTGACTTACAACAGTTCATTTAGTGACTGTTCAAAGTTACAATGGCACTGAAAAACATGTCTTATGACCATTTTTCACATTTTTCACACTGTTACACCATCTCCATGATCATATGATCAAAATCCAGGTGCTTGGCAACTGGTTCATATTTATGTGGCTGCAGTGTCATGTGATCAGCTTTTATGACCTTCTGACAAGCAAAATCAATGGGAAATTCAAATTACTTAACAACCGCATTACTAATTTAACAAATGCAATGATTCACTTGCTCAGGCAAGTAAAGTTGTAAAATGGGCAAACTCACTTAACAAATGTTTTACTTATCAACGTAAATTTTGGGCTCAATTGTGATCGTAACTCAAGGACTATCTGTACCACATCCAGTAGGTGTTTACATAGATAGATAGATAGATAGATAGATAGATAGATAGATAGATAGATAGATAGAGAGAGAGAGTGAGTGAGTGAGTGAGTGAGTGAGTGAGTGAGTGAGTGAGTGAGTACACATTTCGGACAGTATATGAACTAGAGTGATTAATTGTATGTATTGTCATTGACTCTAAAAAGTCTCATGCAGTAAATTCAAGTTATTCTTTTCATAATATAGAAAACAAATGGAATAATTAATTCATCTGATTGCAATGATACCAAATACATTAAGGAAATACTTTTACCACAAATTTAAAGGGGATTTGAAACATATTTATTTCTAAGTTAGTTCCACTAATTGCAGGAAATGAGACTGCAGTGTAGCATTGTAATCCTTTGTGTGCTGTAATAAGTGCTGTTAGATTAAATAGAATTTAACTCCCGCTAGGTTTCTCTTTCTTATCTAAGAAAGTCTCCCTTATACTTAAGCAGATGTATATATTATTATTCTACTTTTGTGCTGAATCTATATTTGCCAGGTTTTGCGCAAATTTTCATTTGTCACAATTTGATACATTGGAAATAACAATCTTTAATTTTTGCTTTGAAAAAAATTGCAGATCAAGCTGTCTTGAACCCCATCTTTCTATTAGTTTTCTTTTTCTTTTTCTGATTGGTTAATAATCTTAATACGATCTAATTCATTGCTTGGTTTACATAACTTATTAAAATGTGTGATTTATAAACAAATCTAATAAAAAATAAACAAAAATAAATAAAACAAACATGATTTAAGACAATAATAATAATGCTAAAACAAACAAACCATGGTCTACCTTGACATGTAAAATCAATCAGCATGACATAGTATAAGCTTCTAATAGTCTATTGCTACAAGTATTAATATATTATTAGAAATCAAAGAAGAAAGCAACAGTTATATACTTAACTCTGCATATATATTTTAACTAATGTATCTACTATTAAAATATTTCCAAAGTTCACCTTCACAGCTTTACATCAAAAGACAAACAAATACTGTTTTTTGCAAGAGCATTCAAAATTCAGCCAAATCCTGAGGAAATTACTTCTCTCAAGCCTGTGCATGTAGGTCTGGGGAGTAAAAATCCTTTAAAAATCATTAAAATTTGTTTACTTCAGGGTCCAGTTCTGCAGTTGTTGAGCTCAGTAAATATGTATTTGTGCTATGCAGTGAAAGATGTATTAAAGAAACCCTCAGACATAGTTCAGTTATTATATCTTTCTGCACACAAAGCTCCAAGGAATCCTTGTGGCTAGTAAACAGACAGTCTGTTGGTTCTGCATTAGATTAGATTGATTTCTCCTTCTCCAAACCCACCTATTCCCCCCCTCCCCAAATCGCAGGGCATTGGAGCAGTGTTAGATTGATTGCATCATATAATCCATCCCCTTTGGCAGCCACTCACTTTTTCTTGATAAAATACAAGTCTATTGCCTCTCCATGAGCAACAACAGCACATCCATCATAGAGAGAAGGTGAACAACACTATTTCCATCAATATCTGTAGTTCTTACAGAAGCAGCAGATGAAATGGAAGGTAATGGGGGGAAACCCCATATATGGTTCTGCTGTAAAAGCACTTTGGAAAAACATGCTGCAGAACCATGGCAATTACCATAATTAACTGTGTTAATGTAATTGGGTGATTGCCTGTGCTAAATGGGAAACACAGTGGAACTGTGTCAGACTTGTTGGGAGTTATCTATGAACTGTTGGGGTGGGGGCTGATGGGCTATAACTGCAGATAAATGCCACTTACCTCTGAATGAAGCATGTCCATCATTAATTATTGGAGCTGTGTAATACCTGAGCCCGCCCTCTCTCCCCTCCTTCCTTCCTTCCCTCCCTCCCTCCTTCCCCCCACCTCTCTCCTTAAAGCAGCTGCATCTTTTCCTGGGCAACTTGGGAAACGATCAGTGGAGAAAATCAACTTTTTTATTACCTGTTATGTGGGCGTGGCTTGGTGGGTGTGGCAGGGGAAGGATACTGTAAAATCTCTATTCCCACCCCACTCCAGGGGAAGGATACGGCAAAATCCCCATTCCCTCCCCACTCCTGAGGGAAGGGATATTGCCAAACCTCCATTCTCACCCCACTCTGGGGTCAGCCAGAGGTGGTATTTGCCAGTTCTCCCAACTACTCAAAATTTCCACTACTGGTTCTCCAGAGCCTGCTGAATTTCACTCCTGGAAAATATGCATTTGGTTACAAGTATTTGAATCAGTGCTATGTGTGCACTCCCACCCATTTCAAAGAACATTTTGCGTTTCAAATTCAAAGAGCTGCCCAGCTTTATTAGTTATTTTTGTTTGCCAGTATAAGTAAGTACATAATCGAAAAGCTTTTCCTTTGAGAAATAGATTTATCAAAGTTCACAGCATTTAATCAAATGCTCTCCCTCTCTTTCTTTTAACTATCTTAGTTAAATCTAAACTAAAAATTAAACACTTAGTTAACTTTTAGCTATCTTTATTTAGTTATCTTGACTTTTCATAAGTGGATAGATATGATTGTCAGATTGGATCCAACTACGAAACCCCCATCTGTTCAACCATACACTAGTTTTTAGATGTAGAAAAGTCAGTGATGACAGCATAAAAAAAAAGCTCTTCTGGACCCAGTTTAAAAATGACATATAGTCCAGCATTTTGTACAACCCTATTTTAAAACATGAATGTAATGGCAAATGTAATTGTTCATGTTCTCTAGCACATCCAAATATGGTTATAAGACAAATTAGATAATCAAAATACTACAGTAATACTATTAATAATTAGGATACAATATCCTATTTTTCTGCCAGTAGAATATATGAATCTCACATATCAATTTATCACTTACAATTAACAGGGTATTGAATGCCAGGCTTATAATGGTAATGGGAAGCATTTTAGTAGATCACAGATTGTTACGGGCACTTACAGGGCATGCTTCCTAGCGTGACAACTCTAAACATTGTCATATAATAATGTATTTTGAAGTAAGCTAATTTATAAGATTGGTATCCTGTTTTGTTATGTCATTTTCACTCTGTTGTGATTTAGAACCTCCAAAGCATTGAAATCAATACTACACAGTAGAGAATTAAAAATATTTTATTTTTATGAACTGTTTAGAAAAGATTAATGCAGTTCCATTAATGCATAAATAAGTGCATACATTAATTCAGAAATGTTTTCTCATAAAATTAGTTTTTTGTGTCACACCTATTAATCTTTTACATAATTGTTACATATGCATATGATTTATTTTTTTATTTTCTAGTGCTGTAAATGTAATAAATAATTTTCTCAAACTTTTGGTATAGGGAAAAACCAGTATTATATAAAAATGCAGACTGACTGTAATATGTAATTATTTTTTTCTTATTCTTTTTAATGGTGCTCCAGAAATTTATGATGAAGGTAAGCTTGAAAACAATTATTTCAATTCATTCCAGCAAGCTTTTGTATACATATTATGTTAACATTATACATACACATCCTTAATAGATAAGGAGTGATATCTTATTTTATGATGTAGGGACACTTTACAAGATTTACAATATCATTTACACTTAAGATTTAGAAGATCATTTGCACTTAAGGGAAGTCTCTGGACAATATATTTATATAGCAACAACAACAAAGATTATGTTTAACAACAGTGTAGCAATTTATTCTAGACTAACAATGCCTTAAAGGTATGCATTTTAAACTCGTCAAAGTCAACAAAACATATATTTAACTCAGATGTGATGTCAGCCTTATAAGATAGACCACACTAAGAAACAGACACTGTGTAGATCTAAAGCTATTCTTATTGGAATAGCTATAATAACAGAATCCTGCATATCTTAATGCCCTTCTCTTTTATCTTCATGTGAATTAGCTGAAGGTCTGTCTGAGGCATTTTTGTAAACTACTGTCTTGGACTGGGCTCAGGCCTCATTTAGCTGATTGTTGCCTTGGTAACAGTTCTTCCCTCTGACCTTCAAGTCTGTTCTCTACATTCACTACCTGTAATTATAACTGATATAAGTGTTTATATCAATGGTGAACATGATTTTCAATTTCACAAATGTGAAAAATTATGATATATATCAAAATTTTGGGGAATATGACAAATGGCACATGAATGCAAATTTGTTGAACAAGAAATCTTATATCAATTATGAGTTAGTTCATTCTGTATATTCTCACCAAGGAAGATAAACCTAGATATGAGTTATTTTGTCCCATATTATTCTGATTGTGTATGAACATTAGTTGAAGCATGTTTGCCTTTCCAATGTTATAACTTCATTTAAACCTAGTGTTTCTTGCCAAGATCTTAAAAAAAGACTGAGCTTTTCCAAAGAGCATTTAGATAAGATGCGCCATTGACATGCATTTAGTATTGATTTTGATCATAGGGTTTGAGATTTTAAGATATTGTTATAATTATTCTGTTTCTATATTGCACATTGCCAAGACACCATGTTTATAAAGACAGCAAATAAATACACAGTGGGTGGCATTTAGTTTCTTGTTTTTCTACTTGATTAGGCATCCTATGTAACTAATAATAGTTAAAATGCAGACTATGAAACTGAAGTTAAAAAACAAATTATGCAGAAAATAGTTATAAATATGATAAAAGTCAAGAAGAGTGAGATCTAGATGTAATTCTGAGGAAACATTCTGACCACTTAATGGACAATACAAAAAACTTCTTCCATTTATTCAGTAAACTAATACAGAAAGTTTTCACATATAGGTTTATAGTTTAGATAGTTTGAAGCTGTTCAAATAGTCATCCTAATTTGTTGAAGACTTTAAGATGAATAGCTAACACTTTAAATTATCCCCACTAAGCAACTATTAATCTGCACAGATTTAAAAATATATTCATTGTATGATTTTTGGAGTGAGAATTACTTGTAGTATGTTTAAAACATGTTAAGGCTGCAGATATAAATGGTATAACTGCATGTGGTTTGTTTTTGGTTTAATGTGTTTATGAAAACTGGGTCTGGGGCTGAAGATTAGAAGAATACAGTTATAATTCCCCTGAAAAAAGAGGGAATGAAAAAACTATAGGAGAATTCCTGTTTACTCTTTGTGGGGAGTTTGGTAGAATTCTGATGGAAAGAAAATAAGGAGCACCAGTAACTAAATTGGGGCAGAGAAGGGCAAATTTTTGCTATTCAGTACATCTGAGAAACCCATGATCCCTGAACCATGATGTTTATTGTACATTTATTAAGAAAAAAGTGTCTGATACAATAAACAGGCTTGAATAGAATGTTTTGTGAAAACAAGTACTGGAGGTTGATTGCTGAATGTAGTAGGAGTAGTATATGATGAAAAAAAATCAGTAGTGAAAATAAATGAAAGTTTTGTTTTTTACTCAACAGACAACCTCTTTACATATTCTGCAACAGGCTCTTCATTTTTAGAGAACATTGTTTTTATAGATTATTAAGTACAGTCAGGATTTGCCATAATATTTCCAAAAAAGGCTGAATTTCTGCCACCACATACCCTAGACTACTCTGGGACTGTAAAGAGATTGCTGATGATCATATTTGGAGCTCTGGTTGCCATTCCAATCTATAATTTAGTAGGTTCATTGTCTGCAGAGACAGCTCTGTGGTTTGGTCAGTGATATTGTCAGTGAGAATGTAAACATTGGACAAATAGTTTTTTCCTCTAAACTGAAAGAAACAGCTTTATACCAACATGTTACTAATCGTTATTTTAATTTGCATAGACTGCGCAAGGTGGTGGTCATAGAACTCTCCTTTATGGACATGCAATATTACTGCGCCATTCTTACAGTGGCATGGTATGTATAACCTTATCCACAGTATTTATAGTGTTGGTATGTTTTTGTTTTATGTATCAGGATCAATATAGTTCAACACTAGACTTAGATTATGGCTGCATTTCAACTTTATAGACTTTTGGGATACTTTATTTGTTTAATATTTATTCAATATGATATTGAATAGATTGCATCCAAATTGCATGTTTGTTTTGCTTGAATGCTGTATTTTCACTGTCTGTGTACCCCATATAAAATGGAGAGTTTTGGTAGCTAGTTTGGTAAATCTGGTTTTTTTTTGTCTTTCCATATTTTTGAAGCTCTAAAAACCTTATTTCTTTATAATATTTCATTTTTGAAATATTGAAGTGTGATGATAAGAAATATAGACATTTTATGGAAGTGTATCTTGCCTTACAGCTATTTATGTTTTATTTTAGTTAATGCTTATGCTGTATAAATGTATACACAGTGTGTGTGTGTGTGTCTGTCTGTCTGTGTATTTGTGTTTGTGTGTGTATTTAAAATTTTGATTATATGTGATTGTACGTGAGTTCCCTGCATAGAATGGTGGAATATAAATAGAAATGATATTATTTAAAACACTCACTTGTTTCTTTCTTTTTCTTAGTATCTGTGTTGTCTTTCCACATCACGAACATCAATGGATAAATTGGCTTTTGATGTAGGTTTGCAAGAAGATACCACAGGTGACTACTTTGTGGAAGAAAAGACTGCATTTTTATTTTTATGGCCCTTTTGAGATTTAATAATTTATATTTCTGACAAAAGTCCAGCTTTTTGTTTACTGTTGGTAGGGTTGGCATTCTAATGGGTTGCTTGATTGTATGCATCCTGGGGCAGTCCTGATTGACTCTCAAAGAAAGAGGTAGGTCACAGAATGGCCACTTTCTATTCCGCTCTTGAAGAGAGCCCCCTGTTAGATTCATCCATGGTAGTGATATCATTGGATAGTACTATACACTGTATACTTCATAAGTACACATTGAAAAGGAAACTGAGCTGATTTCCATGCAAATCTACATATATCTGGGTGCTAATTTTCTCTTACCTCACTTCCCTTCTAAAGGTGTGCTGTGGGGTTAAAATGGCATTACACTCTATTTTCAATTCATCCAATATGAATGAATATTTTCTGGTGTACCATACTTTCTTATTCTATCTTCCCAGTCTGCTTGCACATATTTGGGGTGTAGAGCAGGATGACAAAGATTTGATTTTCTATGAAGTTAAAATTAGGATTATAGATATTTTCAAAATTATACCTGTGTTTTAGGACAGGAAAAATTGAGTGTCCATCACAGTTATATTTTAACGGCAGCATTTTAAAACATATATTTATAGAGTCAGTGTGGTGTAATGGTTAAGATGCTGAACTTAGGAATAGAGAGATGGAGTTTCTAATTGTTCCTTAGATAACCATATCCATCTGGGTAATCTTGGGGTAGCTCTGTGACAAACCAACTGATAAACAAAACTCTTTGTCCATTCATACACTGATAGTTTCACTATAAGAACTAGATTAGTCCACTGCAAAAACAAGCAGACCATGCAGTTGGGACAAATGCAGAAAGAACAACATTTATCAATGTCAGTTGTAAGATTATTTCTGGCTTTTTTTTTGCAGAAGCAGTCTTGTAGGCTGATATCACACTTATATCTCTCTGTAACTGACGTGGACTATTATCAACTGTAGAATACAGGGTTGTTATAGTTGAAGTATGTGAATAGACTTGGCCAGATATTCATGTCATTTATTGTGTTTTGAAATTTTTAAAAGAACTTTGGCCCGAAGCAAAAAATATAGTGGAATGTTAACAGATGAAATTTACTTAGAGCTCTAATAATAATTCTGTACAGAATGAACTCCAAATCTAACTCATAAAGTTGGCTGATTTTGGGAGCTCTGTGGTTTTGCATTGTTTTATTTAAAACTATAATACATCTTTTCCCCCTTTGGAATATTGTGATGTTGCACAGCTTATGGGTGATCTGTTTTTCTACCAGAAAAAGCTCTTGCATAGTCATGTCATCTGTCTTCCTCAGAATTCTCCTTTCTTGATTTTTTTTTCAATGTTTACAATATATTTCCTTCTCTTATTAATACACTGTATGTTGCTGTAACATGGAACTATGGTTACAGCTACTGGGAAAGTTGCTAATTTACTATGTTTTCTGCACCATTGTTTGCAAGAAGCTTTAAAAAGAAGGAAATGTAACTTTGAAGCCAGAAATATTCCTCTCATAGCTATATGGTTTGTTTTGCATAATACTAAATATATGCATATACTGAAAACAAGGATGCTGCTGCAATTTATTTTTATAATTTTAAATAATGACAGAATAACATTCTATTATTGGTTAGCCAATGCGAAAACTAACCAGTAGTGATATTTGTAGCATATTAACTTAGGAAAAATAAAGATAATAACTGAGTGATTAGGAAGTGGAAATGATCCACTTAGAACCTTATGTGGAAGCATCTTAAGACAAAGCAATGGTGTTTTAGTCTGGACTTCTAGTATTTCATTGTTGTAGATTGCTATTATTATTAAGTCAGTGGTTATATTCACAATTCTACATGCAAAATAAAACAGTATGTTTCCATGCAGGGGAAGCCTGCTGGTGGACTATACATCCTGCTTCCAAACAGCGTTCAGAAGGAGAAAAAGTGCGTGTTGGGGATGATCTCATCCTTGTCAGTGTCTCATCAGAAAGATACTTGGTGAGCGATGAAGAGAGTATACTAATATGTTATTTAATAAAACTTTAAAAATTACAAAAGTGAGTATGAAAGAATAGATAAGATATAAACATATGTTTCAGTCATACCCTTATCCAAGCCATGCTGGCACTGAAATTCTTATATATAAGGCAGCTTCTCCAAAAAAGTTCAATTTTAAAATAAATTTAAACTATAAAAGAAAAGCTGTAGGAAATTAAAATGAATACTAATGTGTAATTTTAAATACATATTTATATTTATCTCATATTTTTCTTGTTCAAAAGCATTTAAAAATGCTGTTCATGTACATGTAGTCCTCATGCAACAATGGTAGTTGAAACCAGTTTCTGTTGTTAAGCAATGCAGTTGTAAAGTATGATGTTACACGACCACATTGACAGTTCTTTCACTCCTCATTGCCATTATGTGAGACTATCAGATATACTTGGGGGCTCTAATATACTTACTGTATTTTGAGAAATATCATATTTTAAATAGAATGTAAAGTTCTTCCAGGCCAGAAGGTGTGATGCCTTTTTTGTTCCTGTAAGTCATCACAGGAACAAGGTGAAATCAAGACTATCTGATAGACTTCTTCTGTGAGAGTAGATATTTATATCGTTTCTTTTCAAAATGAAATGAATGCTTAGGCACTAAAAATAGTATTATTAAAAATAGCTGTAGAAGTATAAACAGTTTTGTAAATAGATTTCTTATTACACAGAAATCTAGGTTAATAGCAAATACAAATGAAATTATAAAAATAAATGAATCAGTTCTTGTCCACTCTTGAAAAGGTTCTTCCCGTATCCATTTGTTTATATTTACTATGATTCAGATATAAATATTTCTTTGGGTATAGCGTGCTTGGGAAGGTGCTATAGGTAGTCTTCAAGTCGTGATGGTAGTTGCTTCTGGAATTATTGCCACCAAGCAATGTGTTTGTTAGCCAAAACTTCATGAAATTGCATCACTTATAGGCAGCAATCCCAGCAATCACCATTGCCATAATTAACCAAATCCCACTATTGTTTGGAAAGGACCATCCAGACCCAAGCCATTCCTGGCTTGGTCTCTTAGCTCTAAGGCATGGTAAGGCAAGGAACTGCCTTCTTTTGAACTACACCCCATTTCTCTCTCCCCTCTCCCCTCCCTGCTCTCTGCTCTTTTGTCTGCCCTACCCAGTGGCATTTGTCAGCAGCAATGATTCTGCTGATGGCATTGGGGCTGAGGTAGAGGCCTGGGGCCGTTGACAGTCTCAGCCACCTGTCACCACCCCTATGCTTCAACTTCAGGCCCAGTGCTACTTCAAGGGGTACCACTTCAAGCCCCATGCCATGGCATCTACCCCAGCACCAAATTCCTTCGGCCAAGCTTTGCATGCCCTGCTGGGCCAGCTGATATTATCTGTGGGCTGCCAAGTACCCAAATTTTAATCACATAACTCTATGAGTGTTGCAATGACCATAACCTTTAGGAAACAGGTATATGTGCCATTCATTCAATACTATTTTAATTTTGAACGATCATTGAATGGATTATTGTAACTCAAGGAGCACCTATATTTATTCAGCCAGAGATTATCTGGAGGACACATACTTGATTTATTTTTGAGGTTTTGAATTATGACTATGATTCTCTATAGGGGCATTTCTGCGAGTTGTTACAATGTTACAGTGATTCCATTCTTAATGCAGTAGCATTGCATGCTATTGCCTCCATGAGGATAAAATGCCACAAAGTACTGATTGGTCTGATGGAATGCAGTAAAGAGCTGGATTCCCAGGAAGGAGATGGTGCATTCCAGAGGAGTAAATGCAACTCAATATAGATATTACCTTTGAGAGAAATGGTGAAGACAGCCCCTCCCTTATAGGTTACAAGAGTATAATGTAAATGCAGAGATTAATAATGGAAGATTTTTGTCTGTAAGTGTGAGAATAATAAAGAACTCAGCTTGGCAGAATCATCACATGTCATTCTTGGTTTAGGGCCAGATATGCTATATGAAACTGATGGGACCAATCATCAGGAATTTTGGAAGCGGTGTCATCAACTTGCTTATGATATTCAGCTGTGTTTGTCTGGACTGAACCCTGGATGTGATGAGGGATTGAATGAATGTCAATAAACTGAAGCTAAGGGCTAGAAAGACAAAACATCCTGAAGATAGGAATTTGAGATTTGCTTGCCCTATAAATAATGAAAAGTAATACAACAAGTATACATCAATTTGATAACCATACATCAATATGATAAGTTTTCCTCTGATTATGATACAAAAAAGTAGTAATAAACTTTTTCCATCCAGAGGTACTCTAGCTAGAAAAAAAGAAGGTTCTTTTATTGCCAATCATTTTCTGGTGCACAAGTAGCAAGGAAAATCACAAGATAAACAAATTCAATCAGAACAAAAAAACATAATATCGGAAAGAAAATATTTAGTCATAGCTTTCAAAACAAAACTTATTTTTAAATTATTATTTGAAATGTAACTGTTAATTAAAATACCTTTTCAGTAATTTTTCTAGACCAATTATTTAGAAATGACAAATGAGACATTTGTGTAGTAAAATTTATTGTGTTTTAGTTTATAAAACTGTTATACTTGTTAAGATCTTTTGCAACTAGATATCATATTAATAAAGTTGTATATTAGTTGACTATTCTAAAATAGTAGAAAATTCAGCATACTTCAGGGCAAGTAACTATTTTCACTTTACTAACTAAAGTAAAATAAATGAACTATTTTCATTTCTAAATAATATAAGTGGTTTGGTTTCAATGTTATGACGTTGTACTTTTTTAAACAAATAATAATGGCTGGGATTGTACATATGTTTAATCAAAACCCAAAAAACTATTTGCAGATTAGCAACACTCCACCATTTTTGTTGTAATTGCTATTCTACACTGACAATTTCTGCATTCCGAATTTCAGGGAAATACTGTTAAGTACTTTTGAAGTAGACAAGGGAATTTGGAGGGTGCTTGCAGTATAATTAACTAGCTTTGAATTAATTCTGGCTCATTCATCTTATCTGCTGTACTGGTCTTTTACTGCTAGTTCTCAACTGGTCTACAGCTACTGATATTCTGAATATTACTGGGACATGAGAAACTTGAACAGGTCGGACTTCAACTGATATTTCATAGAAGACAGTGCTATACATTCAGTTATCCAGATAATTTAATTTTTGCAAAGACTACCAAAGTATGTAACAAATGTAGGATGATTGTTATGTATTGTTATATTAGTCTAATGACAGATTTTTCCTTTATTCAATTTCTTTATCTAATGATTGCAGCATTTATCTTATGGCAACAGCAGCTTGCGTGTGGATGCAGCTTTCCAGCAAACACTTTGGAGTGTTGCCCCAATCAGTTCCGGAAGTGAAGTAGCTCAAGGTACCACTGTTAAAATAATAATGGTCATTATGCTTTAAGTTTGTTGTTTCTGTAATGTGATGATGACTCCAATCCCTTGCAAAGAATTGCAATACAAAATAGTACTCTTCAGATTCTATTATTAATCCATTTAGGGAAAAAAAATTAAGGCAGATGGTAGTTCTGCTTGTTATAAAATTAGATTTACTCAGGAACACTTAGAGCTGAATTCATAATAAATATGAAAGAGAAGGCAAGGGGGTGTTTGGCAAATAGTTGTATTAACATTGGATATTTTTAGAGCCCTCTTAGCCACCTACAGTACTATCAAAACTTTTATAATCTACCTGTTCTTTTGCATACCATAAAAACTATCTTGAGAGAGGTTGTATTAAGGTTGACTTGGCTTGGAAATCAGTACATCTGGGACATCGGAAGAAGCTCTGCAAGGATACGCCGCTTCTGATGTGCAGGAAATCCCCCCCCCCACCTGCAAATCGTCCTTTAAAAGAGGAGTTTCACCAGGATGAAGGCGACACAAACACCGCTTTCAGCCACCTCTTCGTCCTGGTTAAACTCCTCTTTGAAAGGATGATCTGCAGGTTGGGGGGGGGGGAGATTTCCTGCACTTCGACAGCAGCGTCTCCTTGCAAAGCTTCTTCTGATGTCCCAAGTATATGGATGTTCATGTCTACAGGAGGTCGCTTATCATCTGCATATTCACATTGAAGGCTCGAAATGGGACATTTTTGCAAATGGCTTGAAAATGTGGAGGAGGATATTCCAGCCTCTCACCCTGTTCTGAAGGTCAGCACAGACTGGGAACAGGATAAGAGACAAAATCCCCCCTCCCCATTTTCAAGCGGTTTGCAAAAATGCCCCATTCCAAGCCTTCACATTATCCAGGATTGCAGGATTGAAGGCTCGGAATGGGGCATTTTTGCAAACCGCTTGAAAATGGGGAGGGGAGATTTTCCTTCCTCTTACCCTGTTCTAAAGTTCAGCACAGACTCAGAACAGGATAAGAGGAAACCCCCACCTTTTCCTGGCAATCGTTCTTTACTTGGGATCTCAGCGCAGATGCACATCCCCCAAATGTTCTATCCGAAACCTTCTCTGCATCTGTGCAGAGCTCCCAAGGAAAGGATGGTTTGTGGGTGTGTGTGAGAGAGATCCCTACCCCCCCCTCCCAAGGCAGCCACATCCCTCCACTAACCTCCTTTCCTGCTTCATTCTCCACTGCCACGTGCAGGGCAAGAAAAGTAGTTTGTGGGACTACTTCCAACTTTGCGAGATTTTTTTTTTTTTGCGAGAACTTGAAAGGTATTTTCTGGTATTATTATTATTTTTTACTATAGGCCCACAGTCTACTTTTCTTGTCCTGCACATGGAGTGGAGAATGGAGCTGGAAAGCAAGTTAGTGCAGGGATGTGGCTGCCTTGGAGGGGGAGTGTGTATGTTTGCGTGTGTGTGTGTGTCTGTGTTCTGCCAGGAAAAGCCCTCCGCAAGGCCAGAGCAGCACAGCCAGCTGTTTGGCGGCCAGCAAGCAGGGCAGGTGAAGGCCAGGATGCAAGGAGAACTTGGATCATTGTGGCCGCAGGCAAGCAGGTGGTGGGACAGAGAGTGTGGGGCCTGGTGGGCTTGCTGCCTCCTGCACCTGAAAAATAATAAGACCTCACCAAAAATAAGGCTAACCCTTATTTGGAGGGTCAAAAGAAAATAAGACCCTGTCTTATTTTTGGGGGAAACACGGTATTAATTGAAAATAAGCATCTTTTATACATTTGGCATATGCTAACATCAATGAAATAGTTAGCTTTGTGGAGGGAAAGCTATTTTTAAATTTTTGCGTAAAAAAATCTTCCCACCTTTTCTGTGCTATTTTTAATTTTTCTAGTGCCTTTGAGTATGTTGACTCCTGGTAACCTCTTGGACTAGTCCCTGAAGTTTTCTTGGCAAGGTTTTTCAGAAATGGTTTGCCATTACCTTCTTCCTAAGACTGAGAAAGAGTGATTGGCTCAAGTTACTCAGCTGGTTTCATGCCTAATGCAGGACTAGAACTCAAGGTCTCCCATTTTCTAGCTTGTGCCAGAACCATTACACCAAACTGGCTCTTTTTTCTATGCTTATTAATAAAGTTATATTTAAGCTTTTAGTGTATAAAAAGTTAAGTTTCTTTTGCACTGGCTTGGCAATTTGTCCATGAATATTTGAAAATACTTAAGTTTTCAATCTATCATAGAGGCTTCACCATTTTAAAAGTATGGTTCAGCTCTTTAAAATATTTGTATCAAAAACATTTATTTCCTTTATCCTACGATGCAGAAAAAGTTCTTAGATAATCAATTAATTTTGCTGAATAGTGCAGTTTTCTTCTGTAGCCATTATTAATCTCTGTCATGATAGTATCTGTAATCATTTAAAATTAATTGTGGCATAGTAAGTGAACAAAATATGAAGTCTATTTTATTCAGGATTTATTCATAATTGAATAAATTTCTATTGATAAATCCATATTTTGCATCACATTTTATAGATAATAGAGATAATCTGAGTGTGTAAAGGAAAATTAAAATATAATTAATGCATACAAATCTGTTTTGACAAGTGAATTATATGTATTGTTCCAAGCAGACTTCAGATAGTATTTACAGAACTCTTATATTGTACAGCATGCCTGAAGAGAGACATTGCTTTGGAAGCAATGAAGTTTTCATAGCATTTAATGAAGAAGACCTCATGGTGCATGAAATTGTCTCATTAGATGACAATACATGCTTTTCTGAATCGATCATTTCCATTTGTCCTAGTATAGTCTTTTGAAATTAAATAGAAAACTGAGAAACAGAACTAATATCAAGTATAGTTAGAAGTTGATGAAAAATTATAGGGAGATAGGATTAATCTTAAAATATACAACTTTTTATTTGCTCTGCATTATAGGCTATCTAATAGGAGGTGACGTACTGAGGTTATTACATGGTCACATGGATGAATGCCTGACAGTTCCTTCAGGAGAACATGGAGAAGAGCAGAGAAGGTAAATGTTTGTTAAACAAAACAAAGGCCATACACTTGGACAATGTGAGCCAAAATTTCTCAGTGATCTATCATTAATATTAGCATGAATACAATTTTAGTGCCCCTGCAAAGCAAAGGATTTTACAATAGAAATTAGGTTTGAAACTGATTTAGAAGAACTACATTGGGTTTTACCACTTGTCTGCCATCAATTAAACTATTAAAGCATGTTTATTTTTTTATAAAATTTGAAAACTTATACTATATTTTAATGAACAATGGTGAGGTGTCTTTCACTCTTTCCAAATGTCAAAGTGTGCACAGCTCTAAAATAAGTACAAATAGCTTTATGGTAATCAAGTAGCAGCAAGTTATTTAATATTAATTAAAAGAAAGTTTAGGTGTCTGGTTTTTGAATGTTAATATTTAATCTAATTCTAATGTAAAAAAATATTTGGAGAAAAGTCTCCCTATTAAAGATATAGCCACATGATTTGCTAGGTATGTAGTGGTCAGGCTATTCTATACTCCTGTCAGAATCTGAAGAGGAGAAACTTGCAAATGCTTAACCAGGCTGTAAAATACAATTAAATTATCTGGAAATTTAATTTTAACCAAATCATATTTGATAAAAGGATTGTTTAGGTCATTGTATCCAGCCCCTAGCTCCATGCAGAAACACAAATGAAAGGATATCTGAGAGGTAAAGGGAGCCATCATTTTGCCGGGTAATTGATTGCGCTGTTAAACTACTCTTACTGTTAGGAAGGATTCCCCCCCCCCCCCCAACAATCTGAATGTGTCTTCTGGTAACTTCAATCCATTGCCTCATCCTGCACTTTGGAATGTGTGAGGATAGATCTTATTTTATATAACATCCTTTCTGATATAGGTAGTCCTTGACTTATGACTAATTGCTTAATGAATGTTTGATATTGCAAAGCCCTCCCTACCCAAGCTACTTGAGATCCATTTTTGAAGTTACTATAGCCTCCTTCCCCTGTCTCATGGTCACATGATTGCATTTTGAACGTTTGGTAACCTGCTCACCTTTATTACTTTGCCGTGTCTCACAATCACATGACTATGATTTGCTACAATTTTTCCTAGCTTCAGCATTTACTTCTAGTTTATGGCAAAAAAATCGTGGAAAATTGATTCTCTTACCAACTGTTGCATTTGCTTAATGACTACTGCAAAAAATGTCAAAAAGTTGGGTCCAGTCAATGATAACTCAACTTATCACTGCAAGGACCTATGACCATAATTCTGGCCTCCGTTATGATCTTAGTTGAGGACTACCTATATTTCATGAGATTGCCCTCTTGACTAAGATCAACTTTAATTCAGTGAAAATAATATATTTTTCCTGAAATATAGTATCTCCAAAACTGGTGTGATTTTTTATGAAATATTTTAGGAAATTTAAAATTGAATTGAATTAAATTGAATAAATATGCACTTACTAAAGCATATAATTTTACATTGTTAAGAGTAAAATGTATTCCTATGAATTATATTAAAAAAGTTGTTTGGAAGCAAACTTGACCAAGGACTGTTCAAGATGTTATGAAACTTAATAAGAATAGATAATACATTCTTAACAAAATTCATATAATCCCTTTCCCATTTATAAATAAAACATTATTTAAAATTAAAAGTAGTGAAGGGATGTCTGATTGTGAGGGACCTTTTTATGAGAAAAGCATTGGCAACAGTGATAAATGTTGAATTTTATGGGCATATTTCTTATCAGTATAACTTGATCATCCAAGTAGTTCATGGAAAAGGGCTAGTTGAAGTGAATTAAGTTTGAATTAGCCCATGGGCTACAGAACTAGTCAATTTGTTATCTTCATTTACTGAAAATAGAAATAATATTTTAAAATCTACTCATTTTCTTGTTGCTGCCTATAGTACCTAGGGCTTGCCTCAGGGATTAGCATGTGTGAGAGATACAAAATAATGTAGTAGCTGTTCTCTTAACTGAACTCAGAAGGAAAAGTAATTATCTTGTGTCACTAGATTTTTTGCTGGAAAAATGTTGTCCAGAGGAGAAATATATATCTTTTGAGAATGCTGGTTATCATTACATTGAATACCTGCATCATTCAAAGAGATTTTGCCTAAGGAGACAGATTCACTGAATTTTCAAAATGTAAATGGTCATCGAAATACTGCTATATTTCAGTATTTACACTTTTCTCACCTTTGTGATGCATTTCTTCAGTTGAAAATGTGTATGTAAATGAAAATATAAAAATGCTATTTTAAAAATAAAATAAAGTAATAAAATCATATACAAAATACTGTACGTATTCTAGGAGAAAAGTGCATGAAGATGAATATGAAGGTAATCCTTCATTTAGGACCAGAATTGAGACACAATTTCTATCATTAAGCAATTAAGTAAGCATTGCTCAATTTTATGCCCTTAAATAAAATACAACCTCATCCCAGTTGTTAAGTGAATCATGTAGTTGTTAAGTGAATCTGACTTCTTACATTAACTTGGCTTGTTGGAAGCAAGTTGGGAAGGTTGCAGATGGTGATAACATGATCAGGGGATGCTGCAGCTATCGTAAATATATGCAAGTTGCCAAGCACTCACATTTTGATCATATGACTATTGGGATGCTATGTCAGTTGTAAGTGCAGGAACTGATTATAACTCAATTTTTTCAGTGCCATTGTAGCTTTGAATGGTCACTAAATGAATGGTTATAAGTCAAGGCTACTTGTACAGGTAGTCCTCGAGTTACAACCACAATTGAGCCCAAAATTTATGTTGCTAAGTAAAATATCTGTTTAGTGAGTTTGCCTCCTTTTACAACTTTTCATGCTACAGTTGTTAAGTAAATCATTGCATTTGTTAATAGCATGCTTGCTAAGTGAATCTGGATTTCCCACTGATTGTGCTTGTGAGAAGGTCACAAAAGCTAATCACATGACCCCAGGACATTGCAACCATCATAAATATGACCAGTTGTCTGAATTTGGATCACGTGACCATGGGGATGCTGCAATGGTCATAAGTGTGAAAAATGGTCATAAGTCACTTTTTTAAGTGCCGTTGTAACTTTGAATGGTCACTAAATGAAAGGTTGTAAGTCGAGGACTACCTGTATTGCTTTATGTATATCATGATTCATAGTTACATAGTTTCTCATTTTCAACCTTAAGTTTGTTTCATACATACTTAAGGGTGAAAATATGAGGAAGTGTGTACCTCTAATTTAGCCCATACTTAGGTTGTATTGATTGATAAAAACAGATTATATCCAGAGAACTCATTAGTTCAGGCTTATGATCTTCTGAGTACCTCCAAATTGCTTTGAGGAAATTCAGTCAAAAGCAAAGATATTTGCTTTTTCCTCCAAAGTAAAGATGGAAATGGATATGTTATGCCTCTGTGAGGTAAAAGTTTCACCCTTAATATTTCCCATGCTCTTTTTCAGTCTAAAAAGAAAGTCTACCTATTTAGTGACTTAGTTGAGTTACAGACTTATCCTTCTGTGGTCCTCAAACAATAATTAAAAAAAAACTTTTTTCCCCTAAAAACAATGTGCAGCCTCTGATTGAAGAAAATTCAGTGTCTCTGGATTAAGCGGATTAAATGTTGAAATCGTTGCTCGGTGAAATTATTCCTTCTGATTACCCTAAAACAGAATCAATGGTTAAACAGAGATTCTGAGATTGTAAAATGCATGCACTTTTCAAATTGTTTAAACACTTCAATGAACGCTACATTTTAATTAAAATACATTAATATCACATTAAACCCAATAAATTCAGATTACCTTTATATAGTAACCCTCAATTGTGTATTTAACAGCTACTGTTAAAATTGTGTATATTATCTCCAAAATTGTGTAAGACAAAGCACAATTGAGCACAATATTGTAATAGCCTCGTAAGTCCTCGGACTTACGAATGACAGCTCGGCAGCAGCCATGCGCGTCTTAGCCAATCAGACGCGCCTGCAAGTTGCTGGGCTGTCATACGAAAGGCTATTGGCTCGTCCGTCTGACAGCTCCTTATAAAAGTCTGTCAGACGGAGGAGAGGTGCCGGTCTACTTACAGTTACTGTTCTTGCCTGCAATAAAGAGTATTTGAAGGTTACCTCAGACGCCTGTTCGTATTTGTACTGCCGCCGATCTAACAAATATGACTATATCATTACTATATAGTTAAAATTTCCTGAAGATTATATTGTGCCCTTAAAAGGTCGTCATAGCCAGTGCAAAAAAGACAATACAAATAATTAAAGAGTTGAAACAATTCCCTTGTGGAGAAAGTAGTGTACCTCAAAACAACAAACAAAAAATGTTGTGGGGGGAGAAGATCTATAACCATTTTTCATGTGATGACCTGCCCAACATGCAGTCACCTGACCATGGTGTGTGTGTATATGTGAGACACAACAATTTACAACAAGGGTGTTTTATGGGCTATAAAGCACCTGTTCTGTGACTGCCATAACTTCGAAGAGTCATACGCATCTCAAGGCATCTGAATTTACATCTTGATATAAAAATAATGAATAATAATTAAATGACCTTTTGCAAAATATGGCAATGTAGCTTTAGTAGATATCTATTCCTGCTTCACAGTGGCTGTTTAAGTATCTTTTAAATACAGTGTATTTTATAGTCATGGAACTGAAGGACCAAAGAGTGTTAATATCACTTTATAATGCCTTGGTAAGGCCAGAGTTGGAATACTGCATTCAGTTTTGGTCACCACGATGTAGAAAAGATGTGGAGACTCTAGAAAGAGTGCAGAGAAGAGCAACAAAGATGATTAGGGGACTGGAGACTAAAACATATGAAGAACGGTTGCAGGAACTGGGTATGTCTAGTTTAGTGAAAAGAAGGACTAGGGGAGACGTGATAGCAGTGTTCCAATATTTCAGGGGTTGCCACAAAGAAGAGGGAGTCAAGCTATTCTCCAAGGTACCTGAGGGTAGAACAAGAAGCAATGAGTAGAAACTTATCAAGGAGAGAAGCAACTTAGAAC